ACGCCAGCGGCGGCAGCAACAGCGAAAGCCTCCGTGTCCAGGCCTTAAAGAAGAGCCTGTTCGCCCGGCCGTCCTCCCGGTCGCTGACGGAGGAGAACAGCGCCACGGAGTCCAAAATCGCCAGCATCTCCAACTCGCCCAGGGACTGGCGCACCATCACCTACGCCCACCGCCTGGGCCTGGAGGAGGAGGAGGAGGAGGAGGTCAGAGACCGAGGCCCCGGGGAGAGCAAGGGCTGGCGTCGGAAACCCAAAGAGGTAATGGAGACTCCGGCTCGCGTGGCCGGGGCGCGGCTCGGTGGGTGTCCCGGGGTCCAGGCCAGCTCTACCCCGCCCCCCCCCATGGGGTGGGCTTCCCACATCAGGGCAGAGAGCAGAGCGCAGGCAGGCGGCCGGCTCCCTTAAGGAGATTGAGCCTGCAACTGGGGTACATGCCCTTCAGTCTGTGGGCCAATGCTCTAACCACTGAGCAGACTGGCTAGGCCTAAAGTATGTTCTCTTATAATCTAGGACTGTGTCAACAATTAGGTTTGGTCCACTCAATTGGCATTTGGTTGATAGTTTGTTCTTTGTGACATTGCTGATCTCTGCTATATCCCTCTACTGGTCCAGAAAGGAGCTGGCCTCTTTTCAAAAGTAATCTAAAGCAATCACATCTGAGTCCCGCCCCCCCCCATGGGGTGGGCTTCCCACATCAGGGCAGAGAGCAGAGCGCAGGCAGGCGGCCGGGGTTAGCTGGGAGGAGCTGGTGCAGCGACCCCCCAGGTGTGGGAGCCCAGATCCCCACAGAACAGGGTAGTGGGGGGGCGGGGGGACACGGTGGGGCAGGCACAGTCCCCGAGAATGTCCAGGAGCAGGACGCGGGCAAGGAACACGAGGGAAGGGACGTAACAGTGCCCCTTTCCTGGACTTCGGTGCATGCATGGCGTTCCTTTTTTAAAAATACATATCTATTCTAGCCCTGGCCGGTGTGGCCCAGTGGGTAGAGCGTCGGCCTGTGGACCCAAGGGTCCCGGGTTCGATTCTGGTCCAGGGCACGGACCTCGGTGACAGGCTCCTCCCCGGCCCGGGCCCTGGTCGGGATGCGTGCAGGAGGCAACCCATCGGTGTGTCTCTCTCACATCGATGTTTCTCTCTGTCTCGCCCTCTCTCTTCCACTCTCTCTAAAAATCAATGGAAGAATATCCTTGGGTGAGGATGAACAACAACAAATAAATAAAAAAATATTTTTATTGATTTTAGAAGGAAGGGAGAGGGAGAGAGAGAGAGAAACATCCATGATGAGTGAGAATCATGGATCAGCCTGCTGCACGCCCCCCACTGGGACCCAGGTCCCGTGTTCCCCGCGAGGCCTCCGAACGCTTTGGAGTCTGAGATCTTCCCAAGGGGGTGACTGCCGGTCTCGGCGCCCCCCCCAGCCCCGCCCCCCGCCTCAGTCCTCATAGTTCAGATGGTAGATTTACACTTGCGTGTAGAAGCCTATGGTGTGTGCACACTGGCTGCCAGGTCAGAACGCAGGCTCCCGGGGGCAGGAGCGGTGAGGCAGGCGTGCTCAGCTGGTGAGCTTCCCTCCTTAGCAGTCAGGTCCAGCCCGGCCGGCACGGCTCAGGGGTGGAGCGTGGACCTAGGAACCAGGAGGTCACGGTTCAATTCCCGGTCAGGGCATAGGCCCGAGTTGGGGGCTCGATCCCCAGTGCGGGGCGTGCAGGAGGCGGCTGATCCGTGATTCTTTCTCATCATGGATGTTTCTCTCTCTCCCTCTCTCTTCTTTCCTCTCTAAAATCAATAAAAGTATATATAT